AAACGTATAAGTGCTAGCTCAAAAGCTCATCGCATCAAAACGAGAACTAAAAAGCATTGTTTAGATCTAGTCGATAGCTTTTTTAATAGTAATAGTGAAAAAAGAGCAAATCTATACAATATGGTTTCACCAATAAAGACAAAGCAATAATAACTTACTGTGATGAATATAAATGTACTGTAAAAAAAGTGGGTGTTTTTGTGATGCCAAGGCAACCTTGGCTATGTGCCAGTGCAGACAGTGTAGTTATTGATGATGGTCTTATTGTTAGAGTGTTGGAGGTAAAGTGCCCTTCTAGTTGCGCAACAAAACCAATATTTGATAGAATTGCAAATAGATTCAATGTCCCTTACTTGTAGGAGAAAAACAATTCTAATCATTTATTAGCGTCTCTTATGTATTATACACAAACCCAATTACTCATGTATGCCACTGGTCTCATGGAGTGTGATTTGTATATTTGGTCTCCTTTTGGCAGTTCATTGGTGTATCTGCATAAAAATGATAATTTTGCATTTGAATTGCTGATGAAATTGAATGAATTCTACTTTAACTATTTCTTACCGACTTTATGTAATACCCACAAACAGAGTATCAACTATAATTTAAGTTTATAAAAAGAAACGAAGTCTTCAACAATTAATTTCACCTTTTTTTTCACAAAATTTTATTAACTAGTGTTAGAGAAATACACACTTTTATTGGTATAGTCGTTAAATAACAAAGAAACATACCAAAAACGTTTTGTATTAAAAAATTTTTTGTTGATGTAATATTGTACATTGTATTTACACAATGTAATCAAAAAAATTGTATTAAAAAATAAAGGGCATCTGTAGCCCTACCTCCATCACATTTACTCAACATAGAAATAAATCCACATGGTGTGCAGCCCACAACTTTTACTCTAAAGCCTTTTTCTTAATGAGAATAAAATAAGACTCTTTGCTCAATTGTGCTAGGCTGTTCAACTGCAAACTCCGTTGCATCTATCATCACTCTGCGATTGCTATACTCTGTCTTGAAAACTTCTGGCATCAGCTCTTGCATGACTTCTTTTCTAGGCCAAAAAATGAAATCTTTACATGCTCCTGCTAAATATTCTAAGATTGAGTGAAATATTTTTGATACAGAAGTCCTGTGTATTCCAAATGATGAAGCAAGTGCTGAAAAACTTCACCCACTTTTGATTTTGCACAAAAAAATTAAGAGTTTATTTTCAACACTAACATTTGATCTATTATCTCTCCTTATATCAGAATTCAAGATTTTCAATGATAACTGAGACTTGTAGGATCCTCAGATTTTCTGTTACCGACAAAGTGTTTACTGCAAATACGATGATGTTTTCTAGGATTCCAGTCAGACAAAGCAAAATTTTTCAACCACATTTCTCGTTTAGCAGCTCGATGAGGATACCATGGGTTGTTAGCGGGAAATCGATAGAATTCAATATGTGATACATTATTTTTTGTTTAACTCAGACACTCAGAAACACAACATTTAACTATTTTTTTCTTTTCTTCTAAAGTTATAGTGTCTGCTGGTAAACAATTACTATCGCTGCAGTTCGCTAAAAAAAACTAATTTAATTCATGATTTGCTTCCAGAAAATAAAGTTAAAATCTTTGTGTATGACTCTACTACTTCTATACATAAATTAGAGTCTACTAATGTAAGTTACAATTATCACTTACCAGACATTTCGTGAAAGTTAATAACAATAAATACTGTTATTCGATTAAAAATGCAAACGCGAAATAAAACACGCTGTATGAAAAGGTTTGTTTTGGTGTGTTGACGTTTGCTATATATACATAGTACTATCCTTTTCTAACCCGACCAATCGTTCCCAAATTGCTCGCTGAGGGCGCTGTTTCGGAATTGCGCTCAAAGCGAATACGATGGGAATTTGGGAATAGGATTCACTGGCATGTAATACTACCCTATTGAAGAAAGCTGTACTATGGGATGGTTTGTCTTAATTTTTTAGATACAGTTATATTTTGGGTATTAAAAATGGAGTAGGAATAAGTGTGTGAACGTGACGTCAGAGATGTAATCAGCGTAAGCAGTAGGAAGTTATTGTTAAATAATCGGAAGATGAAAACGCACAGTCTTGTAGTGGCCAGCCTATATATTATTTTTATTGTGTTGTGCCGTACTGTATTTTTTATAATCTTTAACGTACTAAATATTAATTGAAACTATACCCAATCAATGAAGGTAAACTCATTCCCATGATGATAGCACCACCTTCGTACACAATATTGTTTCATAGTAGGTTTTTTTATACTCATAATTATATTGCTTGCCGTATACTTTTATAGAAGTATAACTTCATACTTTGGTACCCAAGAACTCACTGTCCACTAGTTTCTTACTCGTTTATTTCAAGGTACAGTCAAAAAAGGAAATGATTGAAGTTATGTTTGTGCATAGTCCAACCCCTTTTTATTTGTGCACCTCGATCATGTAGTTCTCCTTTAGAAAACCCATAAAAATTGTTATTTTTAGCCAAATCTGCTTTCCTTTTGAGATACAGCGTTTTTTTATTTTCAAAGGTTAGGTTATCGTATTACACATATTTAATATTTTATGCACGTTTTTTTACATATATGTATACATATAAAAGGATAAATAGGAAAGGAGAACAATTTTTACTTTGTTTTTTTGAAGATTTCGAAGAGATCAAGCACGATTATACTCTTGTCCATACAAACAGTAGACAACAGCAAAGCAAGGCTTTGACTTACTGGAATTCCCGTGCGGACTGGGACATGCAACACGTATATAATATTATGTATACAATATGCCTACGTATACTTTGCCTGCAGTATAGGTACAGCTGTTGTTTTGTGTGCCCGAAGAACGGAACGTTCCTTTTGAATGAAATTTCTAACTTTTGATTTGACCTCAGAATTTTCTATATATTACAAATTACAATATCGTATGGAACATATCAAAATGTGCTACCGAAAAAAACATTGCAGTTTATTATATTGACAAAAAAATTAGTCAAAGATAGCTTTAATTATGGTCAAAATGGCTCTAGAAATAGCCATAACTAATTTCAGTTATTATTAGACCTTTTTTTTCATTTATATTGTTAGTTGTAAGGTATCTCGCGTTTTTAGTATATTTCAAACTCTATATTAGCTATATAATGGCAAAAAATGATTAAAATGGCTCAAAAGTCGAGAAAAACATCCATTTCAGTGCTACTAACTAAATGTGCTTTTTAATTAGACCTCTTATTCTTGAATTTAACATCAACAACTTCCTTACACGTGTACTTCTGTAGTTTCAAGCCGAAAATGCACTGCCATTTATTTTTATGGACAAACAAGTGTCAAGAAATTTCCTGGTCCTTGGAAAAAATGATAATGTTAATTCTATGATCCAAACAAAAAACGTTAGAAATTATATACTAAAAATAAATTAAAGCACATTTTTGGGAAAGTATCGATCGTTTTGATCATTTTTTACTACCTTTTTGTCCTTAAAAATAAATGGCAGTGCTTTGTCGGCTTAAAATTACAGGTGTGCATGTGTAAGTAAGTTGTTGATATTAAATTAAAGAATAAGAGGCCTAATGTGATAGCAGATTTATTAGGTAGCACTGAAGTAGACGATTTTCTCGACTTTTTGGCCATTTTAATCATTTTTTTGCCATTATAATTGTATGGCAGCTACTGTAGGGTTTGAAATTTATTAAAAATGCGAGATACCTTACTACTAACAATACAAGAAAAAAAAATTGGTCTTATAATTACTAAAATTAGTTATGGCTAACTTACGTCATCTTTGACACATTTTTTTGGTCATTATAATAAATGGCGATGTTTTTTGGTCCCAAATTTTGACATGTTTCATACGACAGTGTGAATTATAATATATAAAAAACTCTGAGGTCGAATCAACAGTTATGATTTTCGTTCCAAATAAACGTTTCGTTCTTGAGGAACATAAAATACATGCAATATACACGATGTGAAAAATGTTTTTAATGTTACATGGATAAATAAACAAAAAAAATTCGTTTTAATAATATATACTCCTTTATTTTAATGGTTCACTTAAGGTCAGTCGAGCATATCGTACAGCAATTCTACATTTTCATTAAAAACCTTTCATACTCTTGTGTGCTAAATATATCACAGTTGCGTCGTAGACAATTTATAGTAGCTACTTTTAAATTTTAAAGATTATAATCACTTATGAGAAGAAGTTCGCAGATCCTTATTACATTTTCTTTGTTAATGTTCTCTATTAAATGCAGTTCACATAGTGTCTGTAACTCTGGTAACTCGTAAAAGTGAGCTATTTTCAATAACTCAAATGGCTGGTTCTAAACTCTGCACGTATTGGTATAGATGAAACTAATCAATTCTTCAACAGCGCGCGCGTCGTAACCATCTAGTACAATTTCATTTGTATTTTTTTTCAGCATATCTGACTCCAGCATTCTTTCACGACTTTTAGTAGCAAGCACGGCTCTGTGCACATCGAACTATTCTTCGTTGACGATGATTGTTAAATCGCTAACCTTTTTGGTTTTCAACATTTCTTTCCAACCGCGTACCAAGACACTTGGATCAAAAGTTGATTTGTAGTACACAGTGAACTTGCTCGTACATGTAGAGCAACTTAGTGTTGCTTGAAAGACTTGATGGTTGCGCTTGTACTTCAGCTCCCGATACTTAGAGCCAGACTTGATAAATAACTCGAAGTGATTGATTTTAAAAGATTGGGACTCCTTGCTGGGCTTCAGGGTAAATGTGACGTTGATCTTGCGTGTACTTTCGCAACTAAAAACTAATTCCAAATCTCACTTAACATTGTTGATTACCAGCGTAAAAGTGTCCTTATGGCCATAGTCATAATCAATACATAAGTAATGTGGACAATTAAAGTACTCGTCCATGGTCTTGAATGCCTTCTAATATTGTAGAAATCTGGAAAATGGTTGGTAAATTACACCAAACACTTGCATTGATCTAGTGAGAGTAGGTATGAGTTCTTTGTTCAGCGTTGAAGACTTCTGCAGAGGCACGGAACAGCACAATTAAACACAAGACTGATGTTCCCAAATAGTAATCAATGATCGGATAAACACTACCACTAGTTGGTGAACTTTCAATCACTGTTCCCTGTTCTGCTGCAGGGGTAGATTTTATACATGAGTCTTTGAAGTGTTATTACTCAATGACAATTAATAAAATAATTAATGATATAATTCCAAGAACGATGTGTCATGAATGGCTAATTTAGAAAGGTTCAAGATTTCGGATAATCGTACGCATAGGCAGTACATAATTCATACTACGTAAATTTCACCTGCACTTATCTGAAAGCACTCATTAGCAAATCGATGACTTGTGCCTCACTGGAAGTAAGCTCTCTTTTACCCTTATAAAAAACCCGTGTAATTACTCGTACAAGTTTCTCATAATTGTTGGTGTATATTATTTATTGTCGAAATAAAACGAGAAATGTAATGAGTAAGGTACTAAATAAATTTTGATGATATAATGTTTACTGGAAAAGTAGGGCCTGGTATGTAACACTTTTCTGCACATGCAGACACATTAACTTTTATATTATTTAAAAATTGATCTTTTAATGTCACCTTTAAAGCAATAGTTACAATGTACGATGTTCAGAATTTTTTACGATATATTTTGGCTTCATCTACGATTTATATAATATTTACTCGTTATTACTGTCTTGTAACACTATGCTGGAAAAATAAATTGAACTTTTTAAAACAATTGCCTGGGCTCGTTCCATCTCATTTTTCTCGCAGCGACACCCTGCCACCGGCTCATAAATTCTTATACATCTCGCCGCCTTCTCCCTCCCGTCACATCTCCAGATGGGATCATAAAAGTCTCATTGAAGTGCCACATCCCGCGGAAACTTTCTCCCGCTTGCTGATCCTCTCGGTAGTGGTGGTACATCCACTCGATGGGCATCGCTCTTTCACTTGAATTACCGGTACTCCGAAAATACCCCAGCTAATTTCTTTGGACTGGATATAACTCGTGCACGCGCTCTGCTCTGATAATGCGAACAATTTTTCCCTCGGCTAGAGCCCCCCCAGATCTCGTAAAGAGGCAGGGATTTCACTTTTGTTCCACTCTGGATTGCACGCAAACAGGGTATAATATTTTTTAATAAACGGGAGGCATAAAGCGTTACAGCATCATTCTTTGGCCGTGAGTAATTAGTTGGGATGCAACTGGTATTACCATGAGAGTAACGAGCCGTACATTTTTGTAACGTATTACCCTCTCTGGATGCGCGTTGTTTGAGAGGCTTAACCGGCAATTTTTTGAATGCCTCTACTGGTGCGCTTTTCATTTCCGGCTCGCTTATTTATTCGTCGCATTAAGTTTTTTTTTTTGATAATTCTAAATAATTGTTCTGGTATAATTTTTACGGACAATTAATGGAAATCTGAAATCGTTTATTTACCCCCGTGCATAACGCGCCTATAAAAGTATAACTTCAAAAACGCCTCTCACAATTCTGTAAGGTAAAATGAACCAGTGCTAAAATAGTGTTTTCGAAGAATCTTGTTTTGTCAATTTTCATTGAATTTACATATTTTACAATAATGAAACAGTTATTTCAGCATAAAATTTATATTTTTTCCTATCAGCGAGAAAAAAAATGTTCAGAAATAATAAATTGATCTTAAAGTTTTTTGAAGTTATACTTCTATAGGCGCGTTCTGCCTTACAGAGAAAATCAACGATTTCAGATTGGTGACCTTAAGAAAAAGTGTAACGGAAATGGATTTTGCTTGATTCTTCTCATTAGCTCCACCTTCTTGACGTACTTCCGGTTCCCTTACATCACCCAAAATCGTCGCACCATACCACACAACAACGTCATCCCACCACACAACCTGACACAACATTATCGCACTACATATTTTTAATTGTACTTATTTTCTTTTCATCAATTTCTAAAAAACAAAAAAAAAACAGTTTCCAATCAGATTCGAACTCACAACTTCTGCCTATTAGCTGAGACCCTTACCCATTCTGCTATGAACATATCAAATGTTGTAATACCAATTACTTCGTAGTGCAGTTCATTGCTTATTTTTAATGTAAATTGTTATTTACTGTGTATTAATTTATTTGGTTTAATTATAAATTAAATAAATAAATAATTTCTTATACAATACTTTCATTTTCTTTCAAAAATTATAAAAAAAATTTTTGTACTGTGTAACCGTTTATCACATAGTTAATAAGGGGAAAAGTTCAGTTTAAGACTCAAAGAGGTGGGAGGAGCGCATGCAGCAACAGTGGAAATTATTTTTTTCAAATGGATGTACTGTTACGTCGGCATAACATACGACACAGGGCTGAAGGGATAGTTTTAACTAACGACACTGTATTCGCAAAGGGGCTACGACTGCTTTCATACAACTATAACCGACTGCTATGCAATGTTCCAATGCACTTGCTCGTGGCTCGTCTAAGGTTTGTCGATTTTACCCAGAGTGTCGTACCGAAGGGTATCCCGTTCGCGATCTAGATACCACCAGCACCGTTACAGGTAAAGGTATCGTTTGTAGGGGTTACGTGATGGTAGATGGTAATTTGACACGCGAGCTGACTAGGATGTACTAATACCATCGCGAGTACGGATATTCGCGTTGATCCGATTAGTTCTTGTTGCTCTGATGATACCACTACCGTAGCAAGTAGTGGTGTGTGCTTAAAAGAAAAACAAAACTTAGTGTTTCCCGGTGATCTACGGGTACCAATACCGTGGCAAGTAATGGTGTGGACGTTAGAGTTGATGCTCGCTCTGGAAAGGAAAGGGGAAGAAGAAATTCAAAATGTGATAAAATTTGTACATTTAATTTTGTTTGAAACAAAAAACTTATACACGCGGCAAACCAGTGCGAGGTATCCGTATCCGAAGTTAAAACCGCGCTCGTGGAAGATTGCAATTTTAAGTGATTTTTTCATAAGGTTGCATGTTAAATTGCAAATATTTTAAATTAAACATGTGAAAAAGGGTACAGTTGAAAAATTTTCTATTTTTTAAGGATATTTCTTATTTTCTTAGGAAGTTGTTTTGAAACCATCAGAAGATTCCATGAAAGTGCACAGTCTTATACATCGCTTATACTGGCCAGCTTTCATATTGTTTATATTTTACTGTGCCATAATATATTGTGTATAATGGTTTAGTGATTAAATATTAAAATATTTATTGAAACTACACCCAACTAACGTAGGTACACTAATTCCAACGATGATTGCACCACCTATGTATAATACACAATATCGTTTCATAGGCGGTATATTTATGCTTATAATTATATTATTTGCCATATAATTTTATAGAAGTATGACTTTTTACTTGGGTAGCCAAGCACAGACTGTTCACTGGTTTTTAACAATGACCCAGTAGATAAACAGCCTGTTAAGGTATTAGTATCAAATTGCATTTCCTAAGTACCCCATGTTATTTAAATGGGAGATAAGTTAGGTTAGCTACTTTTTACTTATTTCCATTTTAAACATGATGTATTACATGTTCAAATCAGAAAGTTTGTTTCAAATTTTATTCGCTGCGTCTTATCTAAGCTTCAACGACTGGTTTGACATATTATATTATTGATAATTTTCGTGCATTCAAGTATTGGATGTAGGCAAGTCCAATAGTACCAAAATCTGAATTCACTCACAATCCCTTTCGCACAGCTAGCTCAGATAATTTTCTTACTGTTGGCTTATGGAAATACAAACTTTAGTTTATCTGAAAAAAGATCTAAATACAAGAACAAAAAAATTATTTCGAATAAAAATAGTTGTTTCAGCGTGTTAAAGATACTGGTACACTTTTACGAAGGGCTCACGTACTGATACTTTTACCTTACGACAAAACCTTACTGCTAAAGAAGTATATTCTAAGGAGGACAAAAAAACTTTTCACTCAGAAAAAAGTTTGTCTACTAGGGCATTACTATAAGTAGATTTTAAAAATACCTTTAATGCTAGCGTAAAATAAATGCAGAATTAACATGAAGGAACAATAAACTTTATTTAATAATATAGTAATTGTAAGTTCATGAACTGAGAAAATTAATAAATAAGCCGTTCGTAAGTTAATAGCATGGAGTAGAACAGCACGCGTCGTAGTGAGTATCCAGAGAATGCAATTTGAAGCCACGAACTGACTTTCTTAGTGGATGTACAACGAGTTGATGATGATTTGCACTGACTGCTCAAGCTCTCAAGCCGAACTTGCAATAATTATGTGATAAACTTGAATGTTCTATAAGATTGTTGATAGTTCAATGCCTCGGTCAAAGAAAGTATTTGTATGATGACAGTACATTCTTTTGTATATTTTATAAGAAAAAGAGTTGAAAAGGCTCAGACTTTTGATCGTTACATCAATCATAGAATTAACTGGATTTAATGTTCTAAACCAGCTGTTACTTGTGTACGTATACAAATTGTTACATATGTTAATTTGAAGCGACAATTTAAGTATATTTTGAACTGGCAAAGGATTCTTATGGATTTCTAAAATTTTTTTAAGAGGAGAATAAAAAAATAAAAAATAAAGGTTTGCAACACTTGAACTAACATTACATTAAAATACAAGTAAAATCTTTTTTTAAGATTGATTTTCGTAAACTTTAAAACATCATTTTTTTCTGAGCAGTTAATGGATAAGGCTTGAAATTTAATAATTCAGTTTAAAAATTAAAAAGATATCTTATTTTTAGTTCACTGAGCGAAAAATATAATAAAAATTACTTTTTCCGCCCTCGGGTGGTTTTGGGAGGCTGGTACTTCCTCGGGCGAAAAAGCAGTTTTCCGGAACTCGTTCGAAAAGTCTCCTTAACGAACCTCGTTACGTCCCTCGCCTTCGGCTCGGGCCGCAAACGTCTCGGTTCGCAAACAGAGACTTTTCAAACTCGTGGAAAACTACCAATGCTGGAATAGTAATCTGATGTCATTCCACCGTCTAGGGATTTTTTACTTTGGGCAACATAATTTTTATCATTCCGGACAGTAGTTTCTATTGTACAAACAGTAAAAATCACTATACTTGGCAAGCCCCTTGTCTTGTCCCCTTATGATTTTTTCTTACCATGGACCCAAAGTGCACTGCCGCTTTGCGCCCTTGGAAATCCCTTTGGGCCAACGGGAAAAAAAGTTGTTTGCGCCCTCCGGGCCCAATGTACTTTTCTGCCCAAAGTAATTTACTAGGCACAAAGTGTGCCCGTGGGCACAAAATTGCATTTTGCGCCCTCAGTAAGAAAAACAGTATACGCGACTCAGGCACCAACAAACAACGATCGCGCCCTTCGGACGTTCATGTTTGTACTTTGTACCCTAGTAACGTAATGGTAGTTTTAGTCGTATAAGTACCATCGTCTCTGGGGCTATTTTGCGGCCCGAGGGACCTGCGAAGTAGAGCCCAAGGGACGTAAGGTAGCCACGGAGCGATAGCGCTTATGTGGCGAATGCTATTTTTCCTACCGAGAGCACACCAGCCTCTCAAAAACGCCCGAGGTATAAAAGGGACCATTATCAAGTCATGCAAACAGGTAATAGTTAATCTTACTAATATATAAAGCAAAGTCGCTAAAACCGTTGTAATCGCTAACCGCAAAAACTACTGAACCGATTTTGCTGAAATTTCGCACACTGATTCATGATACTTCCTAGATGGTTTTAGCATAGTTTTTATCTTAAAAAATTTAATAACAATAGCAATAAATGAGCTCAAAGTTTTGCAAAAATACGCCAGCTTTTCACTTTAGTTCAGTAAAATCCGCTAGGTGGCGGTGACATAAAATCGAGGCTACCTGCAACAGAATTAAATAAGTGTGGTTATAATAAGCCGGAGCGTCTCGATCGTGATTACAGTCGGGCTTCGGCAGTTCAACGAGCTGCATAGAGAATGCTGATGATAGTCTTGCAGCTGGATATCCCGGTTACGGACGACACTCTTCTGTAAGGGGAAAGGGACCTAGGTCAACATTCATTCTAAATCACGACGAGTGCCACCAATAAAAAATTATTCTTACCGATGACGTCTCTGGCATAATACCAGGAGACATATCTAGCCAGAGCACAATCTGGTTCAACTCATCAAAGTTGTGAGGGAGTACTCCCACCATCACACCTGGTGCAGTTAGAGAATTTGTGGCTACAAATGTAAGCAAGGGAAAACAGCTCTGAGCTATGAGGGGCATGGGCAGCCACAACGGCTATCTTCTTGGTCGTCGCGTCCCCAATGCGCTTACCCACATGTTCCCGTCTAACAATGAGCGGTTAGTTATCCGGGGAACGACCCGAGACGAGATATTCTTTGGTCAGCAGCGTACCTTCCTCCATCGCAGTCTCCGTACATCGAGACTCCCAGGGTAAGAATCAAGCAACCGTAGCTAGCTCTTCATCATCAGAAATAAGAATAGCCTGGAAGTTTCACCACTGGCGCTTTTTAGCGCCATTATAAGTATTTACGTTCCCTACTTAACCATCAATTTCATCGGTTCTTTTTAGGATCAACCTAAGTGTAAACTACCTTGGCAACAAATACATTTTTATTACCATTTCCGGAAGCGATTCGTCAACTAAAAGACTATATTAACTAAAGACAGGCACTATTAAACCAAGTCAGCCATTCACTGGCAGACGTCACCTGTGGAGTTGTTCTTTGCAAGGCTGGAAACCCCGGTGACCGACGACTCTATATTACCCTCTCGACTCTAAGCATTCAACCAGGAATCACTGATACTCTCCAAGGTCTGCTCTGGGCAAACCTATAACAGCTATAAAGGAAAAAAAACTTGAGCCAACGGGACAGCCTCCACTGGACAAGTATCACTCACCAATCTCCGCATCTAAGATCACCAAAACAACTGAATCTGCAAATAAAAAAGGTGCTTTAGACACCAACGTCTTCGACGTTATACCGGGAAACGTTGGGAAAGAGCACTACAACTAGCCCCAAAGCTTCGGACTTTGTAATTTTTCTCCCAAACAGTCTGGGTCTTCAACAGCAAGCCATAGAAGATCACCCTGATGTATCCAGGCAGTCACAATTGCTGTTAACTGCAGTCAAGGAAGTTAACTTAAAAAGCTCACTGATCTTTTTCAGGGCCATCGGACGTCGAACTACTTTGCCAACAAATATATTAGAACTTAGCAAAGTTGACAGAAAACAGCCTTTATGGGTCACACAAATTTTAAGCATGCCAATAGTCGCAAGAGGGTGAATCGGAAGAAAAACTTTAAGTGTATCTAATAAATACAATTTTACTTAGGCGTCAAGAAACTGACGCAGAAAATTTATCGAGATTGAAACATCAGCGTCAACATCGACAACTAAAGAGTCCATTACGTGAGAGATCAGCTTTTCATTGTACCCTCACAGCAATCTCTGAAATCTTCGAAGTTCCTAATTCAGATTTTTAAATAAGTAGAAAATGTATTTGTGGTTTTGTGGCAATAAAAAATGTAGGGTTTAAGGTCCAGGACTTTGTTATTCTGTTAATAAAGTTGTGAGATATGAGAAAAAAAAATTTTTTCTAATATAAATTTTTTGGGGGTTTAAAATCTTAACAGCTTTAAAAAATAGCCGTTTTCGTGAATTACACGGAAGAAACTGTAAATCAACGGCTCCTTATGTCGAACGATTATTTTATGGCATAAGGAACGCACGATACTTTTCAGCATAATTATTTTTTTGAATTTTTACACCTTATTATTTGACCAAATAAACTACATGGATTTTGAAAAAATATGTTTTTAATAAGAAGATTTTTGTTCTGAGATGTGTCAGGAATATGTGTAAAATTTCTAACTGAAAACGTTTCACATTACATGTTAACACACTACGGTGTTTTATTTAGTAAGTCTCGGGCGAAGCCGAGACGGGGGGCTGCTAGTTATGAAATATAATATCTGGAACGGTCTTATATCTTGTTTATCTTAACATTTAATTTGAATTAAAATGTTTTACTCTATTAGATTTGATAAAATAATACAAATAATTTTACTACAGGATATGTCTGTAGACAACATTTTTTAACTTGTTGCCCTAAGAGTGGATGTAAAGGTTCCTGGCTGTCAACACTCGCGAGCAGCCCACGTATATAACTGCCCATGCGAGAAGTAGGGGCTACCCAGGTGTATACCGGCCACTTTCAGAGTTTGCCCCTGGCTTATATTGATGATAACGATGAAGTCAAAGGGAACTGTAGTATTTGAATTGGATGGAAAAATTTGTCGGAATTATGGTTATCCTGAGTATTAAGATCGTCTCACCCTTGGCCTCTTCGGTGAGGATGGTGGCGTGTACGATGTACAACCTCAGCTTTGTGATACGTAACCTGGTACCATTACATAGTCTGGGTGCGTATATGTTGCGTATTAGTACGTTAGGCACACCAACCTTTAGCTCCAACATGTGAGACGGCAGCCCTGAGCGTTTCAGTGGATTATGGAACTTCTCGAGGTGAGTAGTTGATTCGTCACTTGTTAATACCGTATCTAATGACATATAACTACTGATTTCATCCGGAACTTTACCCATCATGTTGTTGTTGATTTTTCCAACTAATTCATTTTTGGGTGCCAAAATAGCCCTTTCACACAACCAATCCTTATTGACCAGGGTTTGTTCTAAGTATGGCAATACTTTAATCATGAGGATATCTTCCGAGCTTACAATATTTTCTATTCCGCTTGTAATAGTTATAAGGCCGTTGGCTTCCGCCAGCATGCGTCCTTCACCGACCTTGAGTAGTGTTTATGTAAAGACTCCAGACTTCTGGTCATTAAAAAGCTGAACATTTATGTAGGTCTGCATCTGTAATCTTTCTACCTTGATCCACAACGGTAACTCCTTGAGGCAGGCGTTAATCTCGTCTGCTGCAGTACCACGCTCCGTAACTGGCAGTACCTGCCGTAAACCACCAGCGAGCAAAATGACCACTCCACCCATCAATGTCCCATTTCTTCGAATGTCTTGCAAGCTGTGGTCCAGTGCTTCTACTCCTTGATTGTGTGACATAGTGCATTCGTCCTATACGATCAGTTTGCACCATTTCAGTAGAATACCTCGACTACTGCTTTTGATAATGTTACAAGTAGGCGTTTCTTCACTTGTAAGGTTCAGGGTTCAGCAGGACTTTAAATACTGCATGTGCGGTTATACCACCACTCCACAAGGTTGTAGCTATCCCTGAAGACGCGACCACTAGAGCAACCTGTCTGTCTTTGCGCACCTGTGCAAGCAGTAAGTTTAGGAGATAAGTTTCTCCGGTGCTTCCAGGTGCGTCTAAAAAAAACTAAACAGACCACCTTCTCCACTGGCTATGCGGTAATTAAATTAAAAGTTTTGCCTTTAGGCCGTAGTAACATGGGCTCTGCTTAGGCAACATGGGCCCCTAAGGTGACAGTATCATAATTGAGCTTTTTCATCAAGTCAGTGGATAAATCTCCCGTTCTTTGAGGGGAAGGTAAATTAAAATCAGCGAGCATTTTGCGAACCATTGAAACCAGTGGACAGAGGGTACTTGAGTAAGAAAGTATGAAGTTATACTTTTATAAAATTACATGGCAAATAATATAATTTTGAGTATAATATCTTCTATGAAACAATATTGTGTACGAAAGTGGTGTAATTATCGTGAGAATCAGTATACCTACGTTGATTGGGTGTGATTTTAATTAATATTTTATGAGTTAACGATTAGAAACAATATATTACGGCACAATATAATAAAAATTATATAAAGCCCAGCCAGTCCTAGACTACACACTTTCATCGAATTTTCCGGTGATTTTAGAACAACATTCTACTGCCTACGCTGATTACATCTGTAACTTCACGCTCACATCTATCACGTACGATCTCACACTTATTTCTCATCCATATTTAATACCTGTAAGTTAACGTTCAAGAGTTTTTAGAAAAAGACAGTTCAAACTTTTTGTTAATTTTTATTTTACTCTTTGAGGCAACCTTTTTTTACGTCTTGACGCTACTGTGATTTGCGAAAAAGTGTCGTAAGCTTGCATCGCTGCTGAAAAGAAAAGTGCAACATTTTTCTCGTTGCCAAGGAGATCCACGTCATTTGTTTCTCGGCGCAACCGTCCGCGAGAATACCTCTCGCCCCGTATCGTGACGTACTGTCATTCCAAGCGGCCCCGGACAATCACCTCCTTCTCTCAGATTGCCGTGCTCGCAATGCCTACGCAGCAACAATATCCTTGCTACGCTGAATCTTTTATTAATCTATATGCGCCCTTCCCGACAGCAATGCAAACCCACAACGCCTTACATATAATCGCTATTTCCCATCGGGAACAATACCCAAAATATAATTGTATATGGAAAGTTAAGAATAACCATCCTGTACTATAATCTTCTTCGATAGGGTAGTATTACATGCCTGTGAATGTCTCTTCAGGACGTTGATTACACATAGGTTTTTTTAACAGATGTTATTCAAACGTCAAACGTAAATTGAAATAGCATAAAAAATACCCACAAACATTGCAGCTCGTTTGAATGTACCAAATTTTTTAATACATGACAAAAAAAAAATAGATATTTAACACGTAACCATATGAAAAAATTACATCAAATGAGATTTATATGGTTTGTAGGAATCTCCCAATTTTTCGGATATAAAACATTACTTTCAGATAAACCTATCGGATTGTCAACTGGGCCCACAAGTTGGTTTTTGAATAAATTTAGGAAAAGGGGATGAAGTGTGCGTAAAAGCATGTATGTGAGTATATCCACAAATAAAAAATAATTGCTAGCTTTACTGCTCACATTAGCGTTCCTCTCACTTCTCTGAACTTTTCCCTTACTTACTGATAATCAACCGCTCCTTATGTCCAACGATTATTTCATGGCATAAGGAACGCACGATACTTTTCAGCATAATTATATTTTTTTTAATTTTTACAGCTTACTATTTGATCAAATAAACTGTATGGATTGCGAACAAATATGTTTTTGGTAAGAAAATTTTTGTTCTGAGAAGTGTCAGGAATGAATGTAAAATTTCTAACAAAAAACGTTTCACATTACATGTCAACACACTACGATGTTGCATTTAGTAAGTCTCGGGCGAAGCCAAGATGGGGGGCTGCTAGTAGTGGATAATTCATGAATGTGCAATGAAACTGGATTTTCAAGTATATACTGGATGAAGGAAATGTAGTTTCGTTCTATTTTTGACTAATATTGTGTACGATCAACAAGTTTGCGATGATTTACATGCTTATTACAAACTACACAAAGAACTTAGTAAAGCGAGGTGTAGGTGCATGTTTTTACTATTTTGCAAATATTATAATACTAGCAGCCCCCCGTCTCGGCTTCGCCCGAGACTTACTAAATAAAACACCGTAGTGTGTTGACATGTAATGTAAAACATTTTCAGTTAGAAATTTTACACACATTCCTGATACATCTCAGAACAAAAATTTTCTTACCAAAAACATATTTGTTCGCAATCCATACAGTTTATTTGATCAAATAGTAAGCTGTAAAAATTAAAAAAAATTTAATTATGCTGAAAAGTATCGTGCGTTCCTTATGCCATAAAATAATCGTTCGACATAAGGAGCCGTTGATTTACAGTTTCTTCCGTGTAATTCACGAAAACGGCTATTTTTTAAAGCTGTTAAGATTTTAAACCGCCAAAAAATTTATATTAAAAAAAAATTTTTTTTCTCATATCTCACAACTTTATTACCAGAGCAACAAAGTCCTGGACCTTAAACCCTACATTTTTATTGCCACAAAAACACAAATACATTTTCTACTTATTTAAAAATCTGAAGTAGGATCTTTAAAGATTTCAGAGATTGCTGTGAGGGTACAATGAAAAGCTGATCTCTCACGTAATGGACTCTTTAGTTGTCGATTTTGACGCTGCTGTTTCAATCTCGATAAATTTTCTGCGTCAGTTTCTTGACGCCTAAGTAAAATTGTATTTATTAGATACACTTGAAGTTTTTCTTCCAATTCACCCTCTTGCGACTTTTGGCATGCTTAAAATTTTTGTGACCCCTAAAGGCTGTTTTCTGTCAACTTTGTTAAGTTCTAATATATTTGTTGGCAAGGTAGTTCGACGTCCGATGGCCCTAAAAAAGACCGGTGAGCTTCTTAAGTTAACTCTTTCTTGACTGCAGTTAACAGCAATTGTGACTGCCTGGATACCTCAGGGTGATCTTCTCTGGCTTGCTGTTGAAGACCCAGACTGATTGGGAGAAAAATTACAAAGTCCGAAGCTTTGGGGCTAGTTGTAGTGCTCTTTCCCAACGTCTCCCGGTATAACGTCGAAGACGTTGGTGTCTAAAGCACCTTTTTTATTTGCAGATTCAGTTGTTTTGGTGATCTTAGATGGGGAGATTGGTTAGTGATACTTGTCCAGTGGAGGCTGTCCCGTTGGCTCAAGTTTTTTTTCCTTCATAGCTGTTATAGGTTTGCCCAACGCAGACCTTGGAGAGGATCAGTGATTCCTGGTTGAATGCTTAGAGTCGAGAGGGTAGTATAGGGTCGTCGGTCACCGGGTTTTCCAGCCTTGCGAAGAACAACTCCGCAGGTGACGTCTGCTAGTGAATGGCTGACTTGGTTTAATAGTGCCCGTCTTTAGTTAATATAGTCTTTTAGTCGACGAATCGCTTCCGGAAATGGTAATAAAAATGTATTTGTTGGCAAGGTAGTTTACACTTAGGTGGATCCTAAAAAGAACCGATGAAATTGATGGTTAAGTAGGGAACGTTATTACTTATAATGGCCCTAAAAAGCGCCAGTGGTGAAACTTCCAGGCTATTCTTATTCCTGATGATGAAGAGCTGGCTACGGTTGCTTGATTCTTACCCTGGGAGTCTCGATGTACGGAGACTGTGATGGAGGAAGGTACGCTGCTGACCAAAGAATATCTCGTCTCGGGTCGTTCCCCGGATAACTAACCGCTCATTGTTAGACGGGAACATGTGGGTAAGCGCATTGGGGACGCGACGACCAAGAAGATAGCCGTTGTGGCTGCCCATGCCCCTCATAGCTCAGAGCTGTTTTCCCTTGCTTACATTTGTAGCCACAAATTCTCTAACTGCACCAGGTGCGATGGTGGGAGTACTCCCTCACAACTTTGATGAGTTGAACCAGATTGTGCTCTGGCTAGATATGTCTCCTGGTATTGTGGCAGAGATGGCATTGGTTGGATTTAATTTTCTTTATTTTTGATCGCACTCATCGAGTTTCAGGGTAAATGGACACTTAGGTCCCTTTCCCCTTCGAGAAGAGTGTCGTCCGTAACCGGGATACCCAGCTGCAAGACTATCATCAGCATTCTCTATGCAGCTCGTTGAGTTGCCGAAACTCGACTACAACTCTATGGAGACGCTCCAGCGTATTATAACCACACTTATTTTATTATGTTACAGGTAGCTTCGATTTTTTGTCGACGCCACCTAGCGGATTTTACTGAACTAAAGAGAAAAGCTGGCATATTTTTGCAAAACTTTGAGCTCATTTATTGCTATTGTTATTAAATTTTTTAAGATAAAAACTATGCTAAAACCATCTAGGAAGTATCAGGAATCAGTGTGCAAAGTTTTAACAAAATCGGTTCAGTAGTTTTCGCGGTTAGCGATTACAACGGTTTTAGCGCTTCTGCTTATTATATTAGTAAGATAAGATTCATCCGAATCACATTGACAATAGTTTAAAAAATTTAGATAATCTGTATGTCTATAGTCATAGTAAGAAACGTCAGTCAAAATAATTTATTTTAAATATTAAGTCACGGTTGTTGCGTTTAGAAATTTCAGACATAAACACTTATAAAAATTATCTCAAACCTTGCATTACGTCAACTGAATAAAAGACTGAACATTAAGCCCTTGGAGTTTATTAATTCTTTGCAATTGATGTTGTAAAGAGCATTGCTAACTCCTTTTTTGGAATGATTTATGTCTGATTGCTTAATAATAAAGTGACTAGATTTACTTTGTATTGCACTAATACTGCAACTATCATTG